GTGCTGACAGAGGAAAGCCCTTGATGGCCAAAGTAGGGAGAAGCACTTTCCTTGAGCCAGGTTACTTATCCATTTCCGTTTCCCCCAGAACTCTGAGGGGATGTCTGGTTCTGTTTTCCACGTTTCTATAGGCCTTGGCCTGGGCTCGTTAGGTTGAGTTACTCAGCTGTTTGCTTTCTCTGTTGATCCAGTGCCAAGTGTACGCCTTTATGTTCTAGAAAATCTTCCACTTCTGGTTCCAGTGTCAGTCTATTCCTTGTCATCTCAGTGGGTTTTGAGGAAGATAAATACATGAACTCAACCCATCTTAAACCACAATTTTCTAGGATTTTTTCAGTTACAGCACTTACTAAAGTTTATTGTGTATCTAACAAATTATGGTTGCACAGATCCTTCTGTGATTTTCTTTGATCTTTTGACTTCCTTACAGGGTGGGTTCTGGACATTACACAGCATATGCAACTCATGAAGGCCGCTGGTTCCACTTCAACGACAGCACTGTAACACTGACTGAGGAGGACACCGTGGGGAAGGCCAAGGCCTACATTCTGTTCTACGTGGAGCGCCAGGCCAAAGCAGGGTCGGATAAACTTTAATGCCTCCTCCAGATCTTACTCATCACCGATGCCGGACAGACATTTCCAATTTTCCATAAATACTTGATCCAAGATGTAATTTCATTATGCACTTTTCAATTTCCTATTTTGGGTTTAGTTTTATTTTGTCAGTGGTAGTGACTTATTGAACATGGGCACCAACTAATTTTTTTTAGTTCTACCAGAAAACCTCAGCAGATATTTTGATTTGCTGCTTTAGTTGTAATAATTCAGTTTTTATATGTAGTTCCAAGAACTTAGTTCTATTTGACTTTTTTATATTAATGTTTCGGTTCTCACTCTGAGGCACATTTACATCGATGCTTCATTGCTCTCACGCCGACAGCAAGGTGTGTTCCTGGCTGAAGAACAGCGTGGCTGCCTGCTGCCCTTCACAGCTGTGCTGCCGAGAATCACGTGTGTGTGACTTGTGGCCCACGAGATTGCAGCGACTGCTCAGCAACCGCTTTCTGCCTATACAGGTAGCTGAGGGGGCATCGTCAAGTAGACCCGGTGACTGATGCTCTTGATCCCTCTCAAGGCTGCTGTGTCTCAGCACTAACTAAGTAACTGTTGGTTTGGTGGTATCTGTACTGAAAATTCAAGAATTACCCTGTTGGATTTTTGGTTTTGAGGTATTTTGTAAATGTGAGTTTTCATGGAGAAGATAGGAGTACAGAAAATACCAAATACATTTAGTGTCTAAAAAGCCCTGTGACTCAGGACATGGTGTAGGTGTTATCCAGTGAGATGCGAACATCGAATTCGCCTTAGTTGTAGCCCGGGGCTGACTGCACGTGCGCTTTAGTCCCACTCCTTGCTTGGCCTGCCCCCGGCGTTTATTTACCGTCATCTACTCTTCAGGTAACACTGGGGCTGGCTTCTGCGGAAGGAGGTGAGAGTCCTTACGACCGTTTCATAAACCCATTGGCTTATCCAGATAGCAGGGCAAGTTGAAAATATTCTCACTGTGACTAGGTAGTTTCTGTTTCTAGTAGTCTCTTTTAAAAAATTTCAAGAAAGATAACTATTTAGATTTAACTAAAATTGAAATTTGGAACTAGAATCCCATCAAATTCCACATTTCCTCACAGCAGACCACATCCACTAAACACTTTTTTTTTTTTTTTAAAGATCTTACTGGCTTTATTCAGTAATTCATGAATCAGGCAGCATCCCATCCAGTAAATAGAAAGGTGCCCCATCTGCTAAACACTTTAACATGACTAGCAGCAGACTAAAATCATGTCTGACATTGTCCTACCCAGTATGGTGGTCACTAGCCACACATTAAAATTAAGAACTCAGTTCTTCAGTCAACACCAGCCACATTTCAGGCACGCAAGAGCCACATGGTGTAGTACTGCGCAGACCCAAGACGTTTCCATCAATGTGTAGTTTTCTTGGATGGTGCTGGTCTAAATTTTCACTCCAGAGAAAAAAGCTTTGCTGTCATGTTTAGGGCTTACAGCTTAGTCTAGGAGATAATTAAGAGGGGAACATGTATTTAAAATGGTTCACAATGCTAAATTACATTATGTGAACCACAAGAAATTGTCATATTTGACAGTTTTTAATCTACGAAAATGAGTTTCACTTAATTTTATCTAATATATCAATCCATTAACACCACTGCTCTGATCTTGCTGAGCATCTCCTATGAGCCCAGGCTCTTCTGCTGTAGAAGGTGCCAGCTGTGGCTTCTAACACTTGCACATAGGTCGGGAGTCTGAGTGGGCAGCTGTGACTTTAGCAGTAAAGACTTGGGCAGTGTTGATGTTGGTGGAGAAAAGCTATCTTTTTATACCAGATGGAATTTAGCAACAGACTGGACTTTGTTGGGGAAAGTGGTCCTCAGACAGGCGGCACTATTGGCTTAAGAGATGAACACATCTCCTCTTTGAATTTCTGTAGTGTTTTTATTGCTTGATTTTACTTGAGCAGAACTGTTTAAATATCATGAAAGCTCTTTGATAAAGTGGATCCATTTGAATTGTGCACTTACCAGTGATGTAAATGTGCCTGTTTGTATTTTAAAATTTAAGTGTGTAGCCTTATCACATCTACTTTAAAAGCTGACCTTTTTGTGCTCTTCAGGGCTTTCCCTGAGCCTTGCTTTCTCTGGCGGGTGGCTCCTTGCTCAGAGCTCTGCTGAGCAGGGCCTCATGCTGAGTCACATGGCTCCTTGGACAAAAAACCTCTCTCAGAAGTCCTCCCACGTATGTGGGTGATAGAACAGTTTGTGGCAACACAAATCTCTCTCCATGGTGGAGAAACCTTTGCTAATCCACTGTATTCTACTCAGTGTCTAGTGATGACAAATGTAATAGAATTAAACCAGTCAAGTGTACTGGCTCCAGTTGAGTTAAATGTGTATCTCACCTGTGGAACCTACTCAGCAGCTTGGTTTCTGGGGTTGGGGACATATTTATTTCTTAAAGCCAAACCTCCTTCATTGGTTTAGTGTACATACATCTATTTAGACATACTTACCCCACTTCAACCTCCCTGGCCCCTACTCTCTCAGTCCCTGATGTTGCTGAAGTGGCCTCTTCACTCGGGCCCTGGAGAAGCGCATGAGCGAAGTCTGTTCCTGCACCCAGAGTGTGGGTCCAGGTGACCGAGTGCAGCCACAGGAACGCGCCCGCAGCACAGGGAGAGGTGGGCACGGGTGGTGTCATTGTAGCCCAGGTCAGAGTGTGCCAGACTCCAGACTGCCCTCTGCACGTGTTGGTTGTGCTGTGATGTAATCATTTGCCATTAAACCTAGTTTGTATGATGCCGAGAGGATTAATTGTGCAAGTGACTGATTTCATTTAAGTTGTAATCACATCCCTTTTCTGCTTCACTTGAACTGTTTTATGGAAAGTATCATTAAAAGTCTGGTCTCTTTCTTTGTGACTGTTATTTCTGAATACCTTTCAGTGGAGTCAAGTAAATAATAAGGCCCAGAGCTTGAACCAGGATATGTCAGTCAGCAGGTAGTAAATTCTTACAGAACCCTCGTCATCTGAGGCTGGTGAATGTGGGCCCAGATGGCATGGCCTGTAGGGGCAGAGTGGTGGCGGGAAGAGACCCTCCAGTGCCTGCTGTCAGGAGCCTGAGAGCTCACCATGTGGAATGAAGTCGCCCTGTCTCTTCTTGTGCCAGCTGATCCTTTAAACATGGGGTTGGCTTACCTCCTTCACAGCTGGACTACCCTGAGGAACCAGGTTTTGGGCTCTGAGCGAAGGATATTGGTCTTTTAAAGTAAAACAAGCGAGTAAGAGCTGTTAAAATATATTCTGCTTTACAGTAAGCTCTTACGTACTCTCTCTCTGCCCCCATGTCCCCTGCAAACAGAAAAACAAGAACCACCCTGTATCCACACCATGGTTTTCCTGTGTTACTTATTTGCTGGTTCCCATCAGTCTTCTAAAACTGAAGACATGGTGGTGACCACACAATGCAATATACAGGTGATGTATTATAGAACTGTACACCTGCAACCTATATAATTTTATTGTCACCCCAATAAATCAATAAAAGGTAAAATAAAAACTGAAGACAGGTGCCTGCAGCCCAAACACTTTTGCCTTCAGGTTCCATGTCCCACGTTCCCTTTTGGCAGCTGTGCTGGTCAGAGGCTGTGCAGCTACTGCTGTTGCAGGCAAGGAGCCAAGCTCCACACACACAAAAAAGGAGGCACTGTTGCCATTGACACCCCAGGCCTGGGCCAGACCCCTCCCTGCAGACCTGCATGCCACGTGGGCCACCCTGCATCCTGGGGCACATCCTATAGCCCACCCAAAGGAGCAGAGGGGTGTGGCTCTAGACGCTTCCTCTGCTGGTTTTGCTGCTCAGCAGGGCTGTGGGAGCGCAGCCTGGAAGCCACACGAGCCAGATGACTTCCCAGTGGCCAGCGCGTGCAGGGCTCTGCCTTTTAAGAAGCTGAATGAACTGCCTATTTCCAGGGGTCAGCGCTCTGAAAAGAGTACTGGTTTGGAAAGGATTTGGGAGGGAAGGTGGAGATAAAGCAGCTTCCTATTAAGCCATCTGTGCTGCTGCAGTGAACCTCTGAGTGGAGAAGTGCAGCTAGAGCCCAGAGGGGCTTCATCTGTCATTATGAAGTTAACATGATTAGCTTGAAATGTTAGCTGGTTCCCCATTCCTTAAGAAAAGCTTCCTTTTAACTGTTTTGCTGATTTGTTGTTTTTAAGAAAAGTGACCCCTTCCACTTCACCCTGGCAGTGCTGGGGTAACTGAGGCACCAAGGACAGCTGAGACTGGCTCCTCTGAGCAAGGAGCTGGCAGAATGGCCCCTCTCCTTCCTTAGCTGCATTCTGTTTTCCAAGGCAAAGCTGTGCCGGGCCTGCCCAAGCCTGAGTTCCTGAAGAGGGTCCGGCTTCATCCCTGTTACTCTACACAACTGGAAACAAAGTATTCCTGTTCGGTGGCCCCTGAGGTGTGTTCCCTGGTCCAGCAGAGGGAAAAGTGGCTGCTCACCTCCCTCCTGCAGGGGCAGAACGCTTTACTACCAGCATTCCCCTAACCAACCAACCAACAAACCTGTACACAAAGCCAGGCCTTCATAGCAGGGGAATTACGGTAGGGTCCCAGGTAGGACTGGGATTCTAGTAAGCAGTATTAGAAAAGGGATCTGTGTATTGAGAAATCTCAGTTACGTTAGGAAGGGAGAACTTCAATGGATAGGACTTCCAGGCAATCTGCCGAACGGAACTGAAGGCGTTCACAAGAATGGTGCACAGCTGGCTTAAAGGGCAAACTCGGACTAACATAAAGTTGTTTCAAGAAGTACTGTATGAAGAGCTACCTCATCCATCCTGACATTTTTGGGAACATAGGCTAAATACAGCAGGATACATTAGAAAATGGTAAAGTGAGTAAATTTAAAACATGGCACATTCACAGAAGAAAATGGAAATATAAGCTACTTAAGATAAATCTTTTATGGAATAACTCGGTAAAAACAGCCAGCTGCGAGGCCCAGGACATCCCTCCGTCTGGTGCAGGGCAGCGGGATTGGAATGCAGTTCAGCTCAGCCTGGAAAAACCATCACCACTGAGTAAAAGCAGAAGACAGGCATTATCCATGTCTGCTCACAGCTCTGAACACAAAACTGTCACCCTCAGATCTTTACAGACAACAGGTTTCTTCCGACTAAGAGGGGGGCAAAACGCTCTGATGTACAGTACTGGGGAGAAAAATGGATACTGTTCACAATTAGAGTCCCTCCTGTGGGCAGAGCCCACAAGCCCAGACAGAGGTGGTCTGGCTGGCCACCTAGAATGAAAATGCCTCAGGAAAAGCCAAATGAGCTCGCTGCTAAACACCATTGTCAGCTAAAAGGAAAAGAAATCCCTTTTAAGGAAACTATTTAACTTCAATGGGCTGCTTTTCTGCCAGGGTTTTCAATTCCTCTGAACATAAGCCGAGACACAGACTGCTGCACGTATGTCTGGATGCTGCCCACTCCCCCACCCCCCAGCTCCAGCACCAGTTGTTAGCCCAAAATAAACCCCATTCCACAACCATATATGTCCACTGCCCGGAGCTGGGGAGGAGCAGCAGGAGGTAGGTCAGGTCCCTGGGCTCCAGCCACACTCCGTGGCTGCTGCGCACCATGCACATCACCCAGCTCAACCGGGAGTGCCTGCTGCACCTCTTCTCCTTCCTGGACAAGGACAGCAGGAAGAACCTCGCCAGGACCTGCCCCCAGCTCCAGGATGTGTTTGAGGACCCTGCACTCTGGCCCCTGTTGCACTTTCGCTCCCTCACAGAACTCAAGAAGGACAACTTCCTCCTGAGCCCAGCGCTCAGGAGCCTCTCCATCTGCTGGCACTCCAGCCGCGTGCAGGTGTGCAGCATTGAGGACTGGCTGAAGAGCGCCTTCCAGAGGAGCATCTGCAGCCGGCATGAGAGCCTGGTCAATGATTTCCTCCTCCAGGTGTGCGACAGGTAGGCCGCCTCCTGAGCAGGCCTGGCACTGGCATCCAGAGCTCTAGGAGGCTTCTGGGGGGCAGGGAAGAGCAGCTTACAAGACCAAGATGGCTCTGCCTCGGGGATCCTCAGACTAGGCCCAAGGCAGACCCTCCAGACCCATCCACAGCACAGTCCCAGATGGATAAAATTGATGGGGGGGCGGGGCGGGGCACAAGCTCCTCTTAGCCTCACAAGTCCTAGAGCAAAGAGGAAGAAAAGGGCTTCAGCTGTCGCTGTCCTTTGGGCAGCTGTCCTCCCTGGCAGCCATTAAGTGCTAGGTGGGCCCAGCTGGGCCGGGATTTTCAAGGTCAGACCCCATGAAGAGATTCCTGGATTCAGCAATCAGCTCACCCCTCCACTCTCCCCATAGCAAGCAAACCCCAGGGCTTGTGAACTGCAGGTGAGGAAAGAAAGCCGGGGTGCTCTGAGTTAGCTCAGACCAGCCAGACTCGGTGTAGGGGTGGTGATACATAGTCATGGTTTCCTCATTAGAAACATACTGATCTTCACAGTTCTCCTAAGGGAGAGTGCTTTAGCTTACTTTTTCAAATAAGCAAACCAAAGCTCTTAGTAGTATGATTTGCCCACAATCTAGGACTGCCAGATTTTAGCAAATAAAAATTTGATTTTCAAATGGAATATTTTTGTTTTGTTATAAGTATGTCTAAATACACCCTGTATTTGATATGTCAACCCTACCACAGACACAGAGGCTGAGCCACATGCCAGGCTCCCTCCATGGTCAGAGCCTCCTGCCTAGAGCAAGAACACAGACTTCCTCAGCCAGGCTCTTGCTGAGCCTTTACTAGTCCGTCCTACCTTTAGGGAAGACATTCCTTGGCTACTGACTAGGCTCAGCCAGCTTGCTGCCACCCAGGTATACTAGCTGCTGTTTGCTGGCAGCAGGACAGGAATAGGAGAAAATAGTGTAGTAGCCCAACCTTTCTTTTTTAAGGCAGTAGGAAGTAAACAACGTGGACTTGGGACTAGGCCCTAATGGGACCAGGCCGTTTTGATGGGTTTAGCAAGGCCCAGAAATCAGACTGGAGGAAGGTGATATATATGGGGCAGAAAGCTTGCCCTGAAGTTGGTTCTAAGAGAACTAGCTCTAATCCCCCAAACCAGCAAGGTGTAGAATGGGCCTCCCAGGCCACTGTCTGGGTGCAGCGAAGGCCACTGGTGTCACAAAAAGTGCAAACGGCTTGGAGGTCAGGGTTCTGTGCCAAGTCCCTGGTTCTGCTACTGTCCGATGATGTGACCCCAACCCAAATATTTACTTTCAACCTCATTTCTTTATCTGTAAAATGGGATAAATAGCCTATTTTACAGGCTAAGAGGATTAAATGACACAGCACTGGCACATAGTACAGATAGATACGTATCATCAAAGCTGGTTCTTCTGGCAATCAGCTTGGGGGAGGGCAGCCATAGCTGGCTGCACAAGGAGGGAGTCAGCTCTTTCTCCGGTTTCCTCCTGTATCAGGATTATTCTAAAGGTTCTCAGAGGAAGGGATCACTCAACACCCGTGGGGTTTACACATCTAATCCTCATAACCCTTCTGAAAGTAACAATTTCTCCCACTCGACACATGAGGAGGTGGCCCAGCAAGGTTGACATTTGTACTGGGTCAGACCAGCAAATAAATCACAGGCAAGTCACTTGAGCTCTCTGGGACAGTTTTTTCATTCACAAAACTGAAGGTACAGAGGTTGATGTGATGACTAAGGCAGGCATGTGAACTTGGGAAGATGGAATGAGTTCAGTGTGTGAAACGGGGCTACGCATTCTACTTTAGTTCCTTACCCTGCCCCAGGCACAAGGGAGCCGAGCTGTCCCAGCCAGGTACAGTCAAGGGACTGAGGGGAGGCTGGTGGGCAAAGGGACAGGGACCCTCCCCGCACCAACTCCTGGTTCCGACTCCAGCTCCCCCTGGTTACAGGGAGCCAAGGCCTGTGCCCACCATAGGTCATTCTTGACAGGAAGCACTTTGTTTACTCCCAGAAGAGGGTTACAGCTGCCTATAGAAGGCTCTTTACACCCCAAATCAAAATCCTTACAACCCCACTGACAGGCATTATCCCCTCCTTACTGCCCCACGCGAAAATTAGACTCAGTGAGTGACTTATCCAAGGTCACACTGCAAATCAGCCAAGTCTAACTGTGCTCAAGATCTTTTTCTCCATCAGGTGCTGGTAAGGCTGGGTTAGCAGGGCCTCCCAGCTTTCTGGACAAACTACTTCTGTCCCTGACTGTACTCACCCTGGGCCTGGTTCTAGCTACCTCCGGTTCCTGACCTTTTGTAGCCTGGGGTCACAGCGGGTATACAGTAACTGCCCTGGCCAACTGAGCTGAAACCAGGGCTTTGGAACCCAGAGCCCTCCACCCCTTCTCCTCCTCAAGGGTTGGAGCGGGCCTGTCCCTAAGCCACCCCACAGGAAACCCTTCCCCCCGCCTCTCCTCCGGCCAGGAGAGTCAGGGCCTCAGCTCAAAGGGGGACTGGCGTGGTCACCACGCACTGCTGCTCCCGCACACCCAAGGCAACGAGTGCGGAGCGATCCAAATAACTAGTTTCCCCCTCCGGGAACCGGCATGCCCTCTGTCCCAGCAGGACGGGGGCGTGGGTTCCCCACTGGGGCTCCTGGGGCTAAGAACCCACGCAGGTGGTTTGGTGAAGGGAAATGTGACACACGCCCTGGCTCCGATCCTGGCCGCGTCATCGCGGGCAGTTCCCCATGTTAACCGCGGAAGGCCCTGCCCCGCCTCCCCGGGCCGTGCGGAGGATGACCGAGCCAGTGAGCTCCTGCACGGGCACGGCAGGGGGCGGGCTACCGTGTCCTCCTCGGCCCGGCCCGCGGTTACCGCGTTCTCTCCGCAGGTGCCCCAACCTGGCGTCCGTCACGCTGTCCGGCTGCGGCCACGTCACCGACGACTGCCTGGCGCGGTTGCTGCGCTGCTGCCCGCGCCTGCGCACCCTGCGCCTGGAGAACTGCGCGCGCGTCACCAACCGCACGCTGGTGGCCGTGGCGGCGCACGGGCGGGCGCTGCAGACGCTGCACGTGGACTTCTGCCGCAACGTGAGCGCTGCCGGCCTGCGCCGCCTGCGTGCAGCGTGCCCGCGCCTGGCTCTACGTGCCGAGCACAGCGCAACCATGATCCCCGACCAGCCGCCGCGCTCCCCGCCAGCGCCGGGCCTGGCCCTCCGCAAGCTGCTCCCGCGCTAGGCCAGCGGGCCGCGGAGGGACACCAGCCACGTTCCAGGCGAAAGGAGCAACTGCAGCTCCTCCACCCCGCAGACCGTCGCTCTATTTCCTGAGCCTGTTTACCCGTTTGCAAAAGGGGACATGAGAATCTACCTCACTATACAGGATAAGAGCGAGATTAAAGGACCTGATGCTTGGAAAACACTCGGGTGGTTCTCACTAACCACCAGCACCTTTCCCGTCTCCTTGCCGCACCCGCGGGGGACGCCTACACCCTCGGGGCGTCCGAGGTCTAACCCCCGCGAGAGACAGTGGCCACCCAGGCTGGCTCGCTGCGCGTGGGGAGAGGGCGCGCCGGAGAGGTGGGGTCTCCGGGCCTGCGCGGGCAGGGTGCCCCGGAACGGGACTGAGCGGCCCCGGCGGTGGACCGCTCGCTCCAGCAGCCCCCTAGAGGCTCTCGGAGGCCCCGCCCACGGCGCAGACACAGGCTTCCCGGGAAAGTGGCCTCCGTGCTGCGCCAGCCGGCGAGAGGACGGAGGAACCTGGGGCACCGGCCGGAGAGCGGCCCAGCGTGCGACGGAGGCTCCCACGGACGGGACTGGGCTCCGGGTCCCAGGGCCCCACCGCTTCGGCTCCCACCGCGGCTTTGCGCCGCGCCCACGCCAGCCGGCTCTCGCTTCCCGGGGAAGATGCAGTCACAGGAGTTAACTGCACACCCGAGTCTGGAAATTAGCTTGTTGACGTGATTTTTACATAAATTGCACAGCTTTCCTTATTTTCTACCGTTCTCGTATCATAAAAGAAAAAGCAAGCATTTCAAAAATCCATAGTAGAGAATTAAAAACAAAAACAAAAGCAGCAGCTCTGTGTAGGTAATTGATAATGAAACCGTTATAAACTGATGCAAAGTTAGATTTTTACCAGCTGGATTTGTTGAATGTGGACACACGACTGGTCTTCCATTTCAGGGCTTTAGTCAGTGATGTCCCACCTTTTGCCACCAAAGTAAAAGCCCTTGGCAACCCAGCAGCTTCCTGGTCCCAGGTACATGGGGAAGACTTTGGTTAAGTGGGCAAGTCAGGGAGCACTAATGAGTGGTGGGAAATGCTCACACTTGGGCTCTGCCCATCACCCGCTGAGACCAAGACCCTTTCTTTAATGTGTGTGTTTATTTCAGAGAGGGGAAGGGGGAGAGAAACATCAATGATGAGTCACTGATTGGCTGCCTCCTGCATGCCCCCAACTGGAGATCAACCGGAAACTCAGGCATGTGCTCTGACCAGGAATGGAACCATGACCTCTTTGCTGGTTCATAGGTCCATGCTCAACCACTGAGCCACGCCTGCTGGGCCCAAGACCCTTTCTTTGTACACCTGAGGCCAGGTGTTTTTTCTTTGTGAAAGGGAAGCTTGATCCCTACTCATGGGTTCCTTAATTTGTCGTCCAAATATTGGGGGAATAGCAAGGAAAAAGAGACAAGTTCTGTTCTCATGGTGCTTACATTCCAATGGATGAAAAAACATTAAGTACAGTAAGTTCTCACTTATCCTCACTGACAGGTTCGTGGAATTAGGGTGAATGTGCCTATAATGAAACCAATTTTACCATAGGCTAGTTGATATAAACAAGTTAATTTCCTAGCACATCATCGTTATAACTGAGCAACACTGAAACGTTATTCGAGGACCTGCTGTAATCAGTATATAAGTACCAGAGGGAAAAGCACAGTTTCCAGACTAAGCACTGGCCCAACCAGGGGTCTAGGGGCAGCAACTGAGGCCTTCAGCAGTCCCTGAAGGGGTTGGAGCAGGGTGGGGTTCTGCTTAATTGCCCACAGTTCAGCCTGGAGAAATTTCAGCACCTCCTGGCCTTCAGCTGGTAAGGGGGAAGCATCTTCAAAGGGGTTGACCAATGTAAGCTTCATTGAGAAGGTGCCATCTGAGACATGAAGTGAGGGAGGGAGCTAACCAGCACCTGAGAGTAAAATATTCCAGGAAGAGGGAGCAGCGCTTCACCAGATTAGGAGCTCAGCTGGTATATTAGGGGGATAGGGGAGGTCGGTGTGGCTAGAGCAGAGAGTGAGAAAGAAAAGCAAGGAGAGGAGATCAGAGAAATAAGGGATGGGGAAGGCCATGGAGGCCTCACAGGTGATTGTGAGGATTAAATGAGAGCTGAACATCTCCCACCCAGCCCATCCCAAGCAGAAGCCAAGGCAGAGATCTCCAGGTAAAGGCCCAGATGTGCTGAATGCCCACCACTAGCCTGTGAGACTAGCTAACTGGGTGATTTTACAGTTTACCCACCATGCTCTGGGCTCAGGAAAGAGGCCTTGTAGGAACTTCATTTTCTCCCACTACTGCAAACAATGTTGAAAGCAAGCTCAGGCTTCCAGGGGATTAAATGTTTAAAACAGAGCCACTTGAACCCCAGCGCTTTGCTTTTGTCTTCTCTGATAAGCCCCAATTCCCAGCAGCCCTGTTTGCCTGAGCTGGTGGTTTCGTCTGGGGAACAACAGGGTTGTGGTTTCTGGCTCTTTGACCTGGGCAAGTCAGCCTGCTCCAAACCTCAGTTTTCTTACCTGTATATTGGGATAGCTAGAGAATCTTGCTGCCAGGGTTTTTGTAGAGTATGAGGCTTGTGTTTGTAGAGCAGAGGTTGCTGAAAGTTCAGCTGGAATGGGGTAACTTGCATTCCCCTGAGGCCTCTTTTCCCATGGATGCTCTTTTATAAACGAGGCTAAGTCCCTGGCTAACCCTTCAATGCCTAATAACCCCCACACACCAAGACTGTCGTGACGACAGAACTAAAGCTGTGCCTCACACTGTTTCTAGGGCTCTAGTTTTGCCCCACCCCCTCCAGGAAGCTTTGATTCCCTGAGCCAAAGACCATCTGAGGGGCTCCTAGAAGGTGGGTACTGACGGAGACCCCTGGCCAACACTCTCAACAGTCACTGCTCACCATCAGCAGGTACTGAGCAAAGCACCTGACAGAACAGTGCCCTGCTGAGTCTAAAATCAACTTTCTGGGTCTTCTCTCAGACTTGCACAGAACAAGGGGACATGCTTAATTAACCCACCCACCTAGCAAACATTTACGGGGTGCTGGCCATGGGCTGGGCCAAACCCTACCCCAAAGGACTCACTCTAATCAGAAGACACACAGCTTCAGTTGAGGGGAGCTTTTGAGTGCTCTCCCAGCTCCACTGTCCATAACTTCTGACAAGATATTACCTTTCTGAGCCTCAGTTTATCTGTAAAATAGGACCCTGTCTGTGACACTGTGATGAGATTATGTCTAAATGTGCAGTTCCTGGAAGACAGGTAGGGAAAGGCGAGGCTAGAAAAGCCAAGTGCCTAGCAGAACCCATAAGGCCCAGGCACTGGGAAGAAGTGAGCTGGATCTACACAGGCACAATCCAGGAGCACCTGATGAGGACAGAGCCTTTGAGCCCAGCCTGGAAGACTGACTCCAGCTCCCACGGTTGGAGTATGTTCCTTTAGCAAACACAGCTCAGCACAGGAAGAGTCAGGAAACCCAAGGCATGTTCAGAGGAGGGCGAGCTGGGGAGCTGGGGGCCTGACCGTTCTCTAGAGGCACCTGGAAATGGCTTGAATGATTTATGCCTTCACAGCCTCTGTCAGATCAGATCACAGACTTTCCCCAGCTCCTGAATGTTAACACTTTCACTCTGTTGTGGCCAAGGCAGCCAATGGCCACATAAAGGTAACCCTAGGGGTGGGTGCAGAATCTCAGCACTGGTCAAGACAGGTCCCCTGGCTGGAGGCTGACCCCAGTTACCACATAGTGCTGGTTGGTTTGCACAGGAATCTCAGTGCCAGCATAGACTGGGACCACACGCTTTTAGGTGAGGGGCCCCAGACTGTACCCTGGGGGGCAGAGTCTGCTTGGGGAGGTGGTGCTGAGGCCTGTTTTTCAGGGACATTCTGGCCAGTTTCTGCACAGGCTGAATGTTTGGAGGGGACTGACTGGCCCCCATCAGCTCCAACATTGGCATTTTCACAAGAAGCTTGGACTCCAGCTCTAACCTGTGAGTACCTGGGATCCAGTGCTTCCCTTCTGCTGACCCTGGGCTCCTGGTCTATAAAGGAAGAGATAAGCGGAATCCTTAGCTCTAGGGCTCCTCCAGCTCTAGGATTCCATGCCCAAGACCTGCTTTTTGCTAAAAACCAAGTTGACCAGATTACTCTTGACTGGCAGTGCTGGGCAATGGCCACAAAGCTGGGAGGCCCAGAAGAAAGCCAGTACCTTGAAGGGCCTCTGGGAAAATCTTCAATTTTAAAGGCTGGAGGTCAAAGTTCTCTTGAGACTAGTTAAGGGTCATAAAAAAACCACAAGTATTTGTTAACTGAATGAGTCCAGCAAACAGAAATACTGCTCAAGCCTCCTTAGGGCTGCAAGTGACCTAAAGAAAATAAATACCTATACTAGGCTCATTTCAGCTCCTCAGATCAGGGACTCATGTCTCCCCCTCTCTCCCATAGCTTCCAAATTCAAGAGAATGAAGAAAAGTGACAGGTTTCCAGCAAAGAAACGGCATTTGTTATAAAACTAAGGAGTCTTTGCAGATTTTCCTCTTAGGGTCAGGCCTCCAGAGAAGTTGTCCATTAGGCCTGACAGACAGTGAGGCAGGACAGTAAGAAGCTAGGAAAATTCCTGGCAAGTGGAATGGGGAAACCAAGACAAGAAAATTAAACAAGGCCAAACAACTTGAACAACTTACAGCCAGCTAGTGAATCGCAAAACCTTATCTCCCCTAACCAAGGACACTTGAGAGCAAATGATTTATACCTCTCCTCCCTAACCAGAGAATAAATAGCTTAAATCACCCTAGTTGGGGAGATAGAGAACAGAGACCCAATTAATGCCACTTGTGCCAGTCAAACCCAAGGACGGTTGAAGTCAGGGAAACAAATAACAAAAACCTGGCTAAAGCCAGACATACCCAAGATAAAACAGTAAAGCAGACAAAAGGATAACCCACACTCCCCTATATGCTCATT